CAATCCTCTTTGGCAGAGGATTAGTTTCCTGGGGTTCCCACAATGTGGAGGCTTAAAACAACTGAGATTCATCCTCCCCTCATCCTAGAGACCAGGAGTCTGAGATGAAGGTGTTGCGGGGCTGTGTCCCCTCCGGAGGCTGCAGGGGAGGGTCCCTCCTGCCTCTTTCGGCGTCTGGGGCTCCAGGTGTCCCTGGGCTGGTGGCCGCCTCCCTCCCGTCTCTGCTTCCGTCCTCACGTGGCTGCTCCTGTGTGTCTGTGTCTCCTCTTCTGTCTCTGATGAGGACACTGTCCCTGGATTTAGGGCCACCCACCTCCAGAGCGATCTCATCTGGAGATCCTTCACTTAGTCACAAATGCAAAGACGCTGCTTCCAAATAAGGTCCCATTCTGAGGTTCTGAGAGGACATGAATTTTGGGGGGCACCATTCACCCCAGGACAGCAAGTTCTGTGTGTATGTATCTGTGACCTGTTTGCTCATCACTGTCTCGCTCCCTCTCTCTGCATGTTTCTACTCCTGATTTGTCCTCCTCTGGTCTCTCCCATCCCAAGTTTTCTGCCCACAGGCCGATTTCTCTCCTCTAATCTTGAGCAGGGAATTATTGGCTCTGGATCTCTTCACGATCTCTTCCCATTGGCCTCTCATCCCCTTGAAGATGGAAAGTGAGAAAGAACAGTCTGTCAAATGAAGAGGAATACAGAACGGGCAAATGCATGGAGATAGGCGGCAGAGTGGTGGTTGCCAGGGGCTGGGGGAAGAGGGGTATGGGATTGACGGCTTCACCGGTACAGGGTCTCCTTTAGGGGCGATGAGAATGTCCTGGAACTAGACAGAGATGATGGCTGCACAACGTTGTGAATGTACGCAATGCCACTGGACGGTTGACTCTAAAATGGTTCCTTTTATATTATGTGAATTCACCTCAATTTTTAAAAATCAAGAGGAGCGACCTGCAACACTTCTATACCTGGAAATGTTCTTTTCTAAAATTTTATCCCATTCTTCAAGTTCCTGTGACGTTCCTAAATTGAAAACTGTCATTCACGGGCATTCGCCAACTTACTCTAACACGCCCATGTAAGATGACGAAGAGGAAGGGTGCACACAACTTTCTGTGTATCGTTAAGCATTAGGCAACACTCCCTTCCCACAGCTTATGTCAACACTGCCCACACGACGATTCATTTACATGCACAGTAAAACCTCCCTGGTTCACATTCCACTCCTCCTGGAGGTGTGCTGGTGTGATGGTGCAGGAGCAAATGACAGCCCAGGTCAGACGGAGTGAAATTAAGGCCACTAAAGGAGAAGCAAGGTCACAGGAGAAAATCCTCTCGGTGTGGAGGAAAATGACTAAGTGCTTTAGAGAGAACCGTCTATAATCAGTTATTCATTAAGGAAGGTCTCCTAGATGTTGAGAAAACATAACATTCACATCCCGTGATGTGTGATAGCTAAAAAATAAAAAGCATCAAACATGAGTAAGTTGTCTGTGTCGGCTGCCCAAATGGACGCAGGAGACAAAACGGCATAGAAGCATACAGGCACCCAGGTTCACAAATGCAAAGGAGTGCCTTTGAAAATTGAGGAGCACGGAACAGGGTCCACAGTCTCTTAGCAGGACTGTACGCACGCCGATGTCCTGGTTTTGATATTGTGACACAGCCACAGAAGATGTCACCAGAGGAGGAAGCTCTGTGAAGAGTGCCCAGGACTCTAGGGGAGTTTGGGGGTCCCTTGTGAGTCCCTTTTATACATATATATTTGTTTTTAATGGCACCATTGTTGGTGCTCACACGAAGAAATCAAGCTTGTTTATATGGCCCAGCAACGTAGAGTGGTGTCGCAAACCACATCCTCTCTAATGAGCAGCGTGGCCACTCTGAGCCTGAGTTTCTCAATCTGTGAAATCACAGCTTAGCCCAGACGTGCCCCAAGGTCTCTTCCGTACTCTAAAAGAAAAAATGCCATCAACGGATCTTTCACCAACGCAAGCTGAGCTTTCTTCCAAACTATTTGAATTTGTGGAGAACTTGTCAACCTAGAACTCTCACAAACTCCCATGGCTAGTTTTACCCAGAAGCACAGCATAAGGGCATCTGAGACCAAATGATCCCTGAGTTTCCTTCTTATTCTATCACCAGGGTGTGTGGCTGCCCCGTGAACATGGCATCTATTTCTAGCTGTGTCTTGGGCTCCTGGCCTTTCTCGGGACAGTCCCATCGTCTCCATGGCTACTGAGGGGTTTGCTAAATTACACAGAAGCACCCATGTTCTCCTGCTGTGTTCTACCTGTGCTGAATTGTCAATGTCAACACAACCATGTTTTAGCGATCGTGAGTCAGCAATTCTGCCCCACGGGCGCCTCGCCGGTGCCCAGCTCATAGGTAAGAGGGAGGGAGGGAGGACAAACACAAGAGTGCAATGGTGAGCAAAAGAATAACTCCCTCACACGAGGGGAGGTCAGACCAAATGAAAATAAATGCACATCTGCATGGGGCAGAGAGTTAACTCATCCTTCAGCGAGGACTCCAGCAGCATCTCTTCATCCTGACTCATTCTAGAATGTCTGCAAGGGCAGAGACTGTGATAAGTAAACAAAGGTTAAAAGAGAGGTTTGGGGTTTTTTTTTTTTGCTTCTAGTTTGTTTGCCTGTGGGTCTGGTTTTCTGTCTGGAGAATAGCATTGCTCAGCTGCAAACGTGCTTACAGAAGCCCCCAGACAATTCAGAACCCCTGTCCATGCCTGTTTGGGGTGTGGGAGAGTAAGGAATAGGGGCAAAGAGCCATTAATAGGGAAAGTCTTTTCCTGACTTGGAAGTTTAGGAAGAAGAGAATTCAGGCCCGCCCCGACTGGGTTCTAACTTCAGGGAGAGAGCTCACCTAGCCCTCACTACGCCTTAGGAAATGACCTAAGGTTGCTGGAGACTGTGGCTCAGAGACATGACCGTGATGGCTCTGCATGCAAAGCTTGGGATTTTTAAAAGCTTAGTCTCCTAGGTTAATCATGCTCAGATCAATGTTTATGTACTATTAAACAAAGTGATTTAAGTAAAAGAAGGCAGAAAATGTCAAGAAAGCTTAGAAGAAACACACAAACACATACACACACCTGGGTCTGTCACACACGTCTGGGTCCCTGCCCTCTGCTAGCCCAACATTCTGAACATAGGTAACCAGGCTCTCCCTTCACACCCTTGGAGCCCACAGGAAGTGATCCTTGAAGAACAAGCATCCCCTTCATTAAGAGAGGCAAAGACAACTCAAGAAAAAGAGCTCACTTCCCCACCCTGCCCCGCCCAGCCCTCTTGGTCCCCAGAGACGGTGACAGAGGGCCCCAGAGGCCGTGACATTCTATTTTTAAGGATGAGATAACTCACTGGGCACCCTACGCCCTGCTTGGCAGCGCCCACAGGGCCCCCACGTGACTGCCGACACCAGAACACGTCAGGTCTGCAGCCCACCCGCCTGCCCACACCTCACTGCCCTGGCCTCCGACCGCCCAGGGAATCTTTCACAATGGACTCCTGCACGTGCCCAAAAGAAATACAATTGCTGGTGCTGTGTGCCAAAGGACGCCGGGAGCTCCACCAACTTTCCATTGTTCAACTGTGTTTCCACCTGTAACTGCCCTGGTCTGGGTTTCTGTCCCACCCTGCCTGCCGCCCTGCAAAAAACACTGCCAGTTTTTACATCAGCCCAGCAGAGCTTCCCAAAAGGGGATAGAAGGAGACAGAGAGGGAGAGAGAGAGAGATGTAAAGAGAGAGACAGAGAAAGAAGGAGGAGGAGTTGGAGGACAGGGTTGAGAGGGAGAGAAGCAGGAGAAAGAAGGAGGGTGCATCCCACACCCTCTTTCCCAAATCAGGTTTCCCGGTGACCCCTTCCTCACAGCCATCTATACAAGGACAAGGAGGCCACCAATGGAAGAGAAAAAAGTCCCCTCTCCGTTGGCGGTCTCAACGCCACTCTGGTTGTGCCTGCTGGTCTTACTAAGCCCTAAGCATAAGCTTGAGCCCACTGCTTCCAGCTTCCCCTGCCCAGCTTCCTCCTTTCCAAAAGCGGGGCGGGGGGGGGGGGGGGGGACCCAAGAAAGTACCTGAATATCCCTGCCTCGCTGTCGCACACGGCAGGGCTGCCTCCCCATTTGTCTTCCCAACAAGCAACAGGTAGGCACAACCCCCTTAGCAACCAGGAGTCGCTTGGAAGCCACAGGCTGGCTTGTCCCCACAGCCTGAATCCAGAGCCAACGTGGGATTGGGATAGTTAAATCCACTCAGGGTGGCCCCACCAACCAGCGCGTTTCGGGATCCAGGTGCCCAAAGAACTGGAAACCCCTATTTCCAGCTGCCCAGCTGGAGTTAAATTCAATGAGAGAGGACAAAGGAAATGATAAAAGAATGCTAAGTTTGGGAGGAACAAGATGCAAAATCATGCGCGGTGGCAAGAAAGGTGCAATCCATGTCCAGCCGCCGCCCCCCGCCCCGACAGCGCCACGGGACACCTGTCCCCCCCAGCCCCCGGTTAGTTCCGAAGTCCACGCGGGAGCATCCTGCTGCTGGGCAGAGAGGAAGGCCGGCCGAGGAGCGGTCTGCAGGTGCCAGGGCCGCCGCCTCCGTCCCTGGAGGTCCCTGCCTGGGAGCACCCTCCAAGGTCCCCAAAGTGATGTGACCCCCAGGAAGTTTTGTGACGTCGCGGGGGCCCAGTCACCGGAGTGGTTTTGAGGGTAGAGGTCTAAATGAGGAGCTTTTGGAGGCTCAACACAGGGCGCCGGCAGGTGGGGAGGCTCCCGGGGGTCGGGGGGATGCCCTCCAGCTTTCGGGGCGCCTGGGGGAGCCGAGGGCGCAGGGGCAGCCCCGCGCGAGGACCCCGAGCAGGCGGCGCCGGGCAGGGCGCTCCCTGGGGGGCGGCCAGGCGACGGCACCCGAGCCCTTTGTCTGACGCCAGCGTCCCGGGCGGCGCCGAACGCCCGTGCGACCGAGGCCCCGCACTTCGCACTCACCCACGGTGGCCAGCGTGTCGAAGTCCTGCAGGCGGTAAGCGGGAGGCTCCGGAGAGGGTGCCCCGGGGCTGGGTAACTTCGCCCCGTCGGGGGTCTCCCTTGGGCTCTCTCGGGGGCTGGGGTCCGCCGCGGCCGCCTTAGCCAGCCCGGGCGCCTCCATGGGGGCGCACTCAAGTCCGGGACTCGGGGCCGGGCCGGGGGGCGCGGGGGACCGGGCTTCCCGGGACGCAGCCTCGGAGGGCGGCGCGGCGGCGGCGGCATCAGCGCCGCACACCCATGCGCGCCCCCCGCCTCCCGGTGCGCGGCCCGGCGCAGCTGGCGGAGCGGCGGGGACAATGGCGGGGCGCGCGGCGGCGCTCACTGCAGCAGCAGCAGCAGCAGCTGGTGGGAGTAGCCGGCGGCCTCGGGGGGCGGGCCCGGCGGGCTGGGCGGCGGCGTGGGCGGTGGCGCGGCCTGGGCTGGGGGCGCGGCCCGGGCGGGCGGCGGCGGCGAGGCGGGGTCGGGGCCGCGGGCTCCCGTCTCCCTGTTCATTCCTCGTGCCCCGGGTCCGCCGTCGCCGTCGCCGCCGGCGCTGCGCGCGCGATAATGGGGGGCCGGGCGGAAGCGGCCTGGGCGGGGCCGCGCGCGCTCCCCGCCCCCCCACCCACCCCCGGCGCCGGCCCGGACGCGGCCCGGCGGGCTGGGGGTGTCGCCGTCCCCGCCGCGCCCCGCCCCCGCCGAGTACCCACCCTGCAACCGCGAGGCCGGTATGTGGGGGCTGCGCCGACCGCAGAGGGGGCGGGGGGCTTTGGGGAGGGTGGGGGCCCCTCCTAGCTGGCGCGGGGGCTGCGCGGGCCGCCAGCCGAGCTGGCTGCGCCCGGGCCGGAAGGTTGGGAGGCGGGACCGGCTGGGGACCGGGAGGGCGTGGTTCGAACAAAAGTTAAGTTAAAAAATACAACTGAACCCAGGACGCTTTGTAGACGGCGCGGTGCCCACGAGTCCCCCGCGGGCGGGTGCCGGGGCTGGCAAGGGAACGCCCGGCCCGCGTCCGCTTCCTGGTCTCGCTTGTTGGACTATGGTGATGCAAGATGCTGGCTGGGGGCGAGGCGCGGCGAGGCGCGCGGGACCTCCCTGGGTGTTTCTTTGCAGCTTCCTATGAATCTATAATTATTGCGAAAGACCCATTTACAAAAGGATAAGGAGAGGCAGATTTGTGAGAGAGAGCAATCAAATGCAGCGCGTGCAACTTGATGCATTACTGTTTTAAACACACCAGGGACTACTGGAAAAAAGAAATGCAGGATGCCCAGATACGTTCGCATTTCAGATACACGATGATAGGTTTTTTTCCCCCCTGGTGTAGGTCCCAGGCCATGTTTAGATAAAGTTATACGAAAAAGTGACTTATGTATTTCTGAAATTCTGCTGTAACTAGGCGTCTTGTATTTTCACTGGCCACTCTCCCCCGGGGCATCTGCCTAGAATGCACATTGGACTTAACAGGGCCCAGGACTGACCCGGCTGCGGGTTCGCAGACCACGCTTTGAGTAGGAGAAAGGGACTCTGCCTACTTCCTCGTCTGCTGGAATCTCAGCCATTCGGCCCTTGGAGGCAGCGTCTTGACCCTCGGTCCTAGGATCGGAGTGGGAGGGGTCTCTCGGGAGAGGCCAGCCCGCGTCTAAGTCAGAACTTCAGAACTGACATGTTTTACAGGGCCCAGGCCATGCCTGCCTGACTTGGCCAACTGGGAGGGGGCGACAAGAAACCAGAACTCGGCCCTGGGTATGCTTTTCTGGCCCCAGCTCTCATCTGCACGTTGTGGGTGGCAGTTTCCCCGGGCCTGAAGCCTGCTTGTTGCCAAATCTTGAGCTGGAATGCGAGCAATGCGCGCCAGGAGCGGGCTGCGGGCGCCTGTGCGCCTGCTTAGAACAAGCACCGGTTCCCGCGCTCTGGCCATCAGGCCCTGCCCCGCCCTGCAGGGCCCAGGGGCTCCAGGCGACCCGGAACCGTCCCTGCCAGGCAAATGCGCGCCTCCCTGCCTAGCGTGCGCCCTCTCCACCTGGATTCGACGTTGCCACTGCGATGAGGCCAGCTAATTAAGGTCGGTGGTCAAGCCTGGGGTTTCACACCCGATTAAGGACAGGCCTTTCCCTTCCAATTGCACCCAGGCAGAGAAAAGTAACAGAGAAACCTTCAGAATTAAAGTCTGGTTTTGCAGAGTTGATCTGGCCATTCCTATCTCGCCCTGAGCTTGGCCACATACCTACTTCTTGGAATAAATATCCTGGGCAGGTTTCGCAACACCTCGCCATTACAAAGCAGCTTTCATCTGGGAGGATCGTAAAAATTCTTCAGAAACCACAGCATGTTACTTGAAAGACAAAAAAAGAAAAATCCCTGTGAGCTAGGCATTATAGGCTCATTACCACCTTTATGATGTGGCCTTGTGTTGTGGCAGTGAGGAGGCTGCGAACTCTGTAATCCAGAAGGAGTGAGTTCCCACTTCCACCCAGAATGAACTAGAAATGCAACACAGTAGCCGGTGGAGGTGTTGTTGAAGGCGAAAGAAAGAAAAATGGTAGTTTGTGAAGGCAGCTGGACACTTCTTTTAGAATATATGTATATGTTTTTATATATGTATGTATATGTGTGAATGTATACATGTGTATATGTATATACTGAGTTAAAATAAAAAAGTGTTCATCTCCCTTCACAAACTTTACAATTTATACATATATTAGATATGTATTACATCTATTATATGTTATATTCTAGTATATTCTATAATGTATATATTCTGATTATTTTATAACATATATTCTAATATATTTTATAATATATATTCTCATATGCATTCTAAAAGAAGTGTTCAACTGCCTTCGCAGACTTTGCAATTTATATATATTATATATTGTATTCTAATGTGTTCTATAATGTATATGTTCTGGTATATTTTATACTATATAGTCTAAACTATTTTAGACTATATATTCTACTATATATTCTACTATATAGTCTAAAATAAATGTTCAGCTGCCTTCACAGACTTTACAATTCATGTATATGAACACATAATATTTATATATTTATGTGTATTCTGAGTTGAACATGCCTATGTATATTGGCCCTCACTCACCAAAACAGATACTTTGGAAATATGCAAGGCATGCTTTGATACTTTGTTAATTGACCAAACCTGGAAGAGGTCTTCCCAAGGCTTCTGGAAAGAAGTCCTCCAGACAGCATAGGAATCAGTTTGAATCTGGACACCACCAGAGATGGAAATTTTGTATCATTCATTGCCTGAAGACACACCCTTTAGGTTTTCATCTTAGAAGGCAGGCAGAAAATTCAGATACGTGCTTAGTTCCAGGAGGATGGTTTCAGATTTCGGTAGTTAGATCTTACCCTGAGTCAGACAGTGCCTTTTACTGAGTGTCCACTGGGTCGCAGGAATATGATAGGTCATTTCTTGTGCTCAGTGTGTTTGTTCTCGTTTTCTCAGAGGAGCTGTTGCAAAGCCATTCGTCGGCGCTTGGGTGTTTTTGCTCATGAACATTTTCCTGGCAAAGAGTGATTCAAGTGTTTGTAAGCACTCGGTGTGGGTAGCTTTGAAATCTTCTGCTTGTCTCTCCTTCATCACTTGACAACCCCGTGGTGGGTTTGTGTTGGTTTCCTGTGTTAAGAATTCGTGATAACCTAGTTGTTTGGCTGTGTTGTATCTCGATCCTTAGCACTTCTGCCTCTGCAGGTGGAGCCAGAGCCAGGCCCGTCGCAACTAATCAAGGATGATACAACTCATTTTGTAGTTAGGATAAGGATGACTGCAGTAATCAGACGCCTGTTCCAGTCCGAGCCCGGCTGCCTGATCGCCTCTCAGGAACAGTCTGTGCAGGGTCTCCCAGTTCCATATTTCGGCCCTTGGCCCTCCAGAGATATTTCTCGCCCGTGGGCCCCCCTTTTCAAACAGCTCCAACTTGGCTTGCTGAAGCAGTGTCCTGACCCCACGTACGTTTTCGAGCCAGGTGAAGCCAGCATGGAAATGCCCTCTCTGATGATGAAAATCAAGTTTTCGCTGTGGAGATATCACACACAGTTCCCTGGCTAGAGAGGTCCTCAAATGGGTTTAGAGTGATGAGTTCATCCAAGGTCGACCCCTGGATTTAGATTAAGGTAAAACCCACCCATCGTCAGTCATTCAATGAAACACAACCTAAGCCGCTGTCTCTACAAATTGAAGTTTAAAAATCTGAAAACGCCACCCTCCAGATGCTCTTCTTGGCGTATGGAGCACTGACTTCTAAAAATAATGCCGCTAAACATATCTATTTATGCTGAGGCTTTTCTTGAGGGATTTCAAAGAAAACCCTACAGGAGAGCATCGAACAAGGTAACGTTGTCTGGACTAGACCAGCCTGTGATTACAATAGGCTGAGTTGACTCCTCACCCAAGCTGTGCGTGAGAGTTGTTACTTCTCAAATGCTGGAGGGATTTATGGAAAATCCACGCTGTGGTACTGAAGGCACGAAAGTGAATAATGCTTCCCGAAATGTAAACATGTGTGTTGGAAAGAGCCATCCTTCATCCAAAAGGGAAGTTAATGTCACACGCCCGTGTGGTTCCTGTTTAATTGGATTTCTGAACTTGAAATTTAAAACGTCCTATTTGACCCAAAGGATAATGGTGATGGTTAGTAAGGAAGATGACTTATGAGGAAGTCCACCAAGGGCATCCGTCAATCTATTCTGTAATATGGCAATTTCCTTTAGGTTCCTACAGTTTCAATGTGCAAAAGCAAATAAGTGGGTGGAAACCATGAGCCAAATGACCCGCATTCTAGTATCTACAAAAGTGACTTTGTTACCTGAGTCACATAGTTTCTCCTCTCCCTTTTGCCCATGTGCTAGTCTCTGAAGCTTTTAAGGAACTCAAAGTACAGCATAGTAACAGGAGAAAAATTATGTCAAGTCAAGTTGTCTATGTCCCCAGATGTCATAAATAGTATACCAGTATCAACGGCTATCTGTATTGGATTAAAAGCTAATTTAGGTTCTCACCACGTACTGTATTAAAAAATTACACATCCCAAGATAAGGAAACTAGAATCAATTCCAGGAGTATGAGAGTTGAGGGCTTGGGGGAGGGGAGGGTCAATCTTAAAACAGTAAGACAGGAAGAAGAGAGCGCGGCCAATTCAAATCCCCGGATGGCCGTGGAAGGACGTTCTAGACTTGATAGAGATAGAACCACAGGGGTCAATAGATGAATAGAGCTGACTACCTGAAAATGTAAGAGAGTTATGGAAATACAAAGGAAATGAAAACATATTGACAACAAGCGTGCGTAGTGCGTAAGAAAAGGACATAAGCCAGACTGGTATATAGTCAAAGGGCATTAATGGACAATGAACCCAAAAGAAGGGAATAGACATAGGTCATTCACCTAGGGAGAAAAAAAATGTTTATAATAACTAATAATCAAAGAAATGCGACTAAGAATAAATGTGGCCGCTGTGTTTTTAAATCTACGTAACAGGACAAAGATGAGCCGTTCCCTGCTGATGAGAGAATCCGCACACACTTCTGGTTGTAATGTCCGTTGGTAGAAGGGCTTATGGTATCAGAAGTGATCGTACGTTTTGGTCTATTAATTCTATATGTAGGAATTTATTTTTCAAAAGTAAATTTTGGGCTCCATCAAAAGCTTCATGATCAGAGTTCTTATGCATGGTTAGGGGCTGAATTGTGTCCCCCAGAATTAATGTAT